GATCCATGATGTCATGTAAATGTAACATTTTCTACATATAGGTCAAATTACATTGCTCTCAAATTACTCTGTTACATCCAGAAGGGAAACTTCACCAAAGTGAAACATAAATCTGTGGATCTGTGTTTGATTACTCTGCCTGGCTTTCTCAAGGACCAGGATGTGACCCAAAAATCTGAATTATAGAACTGAAAGTGAAAGTAGTCAAACTGAAGTTTAAATAAACCAAAATACAGTTTCAAAGCAAATTAATTCAGATACAAAACTTTAAATTCACTTTTAATTTAATAAAATTCATTTTCAAACTAATGCATTCAATTTCAAATTATGCACATTCAGATTCAATCTGAGCAATTCAAATTCAGTTCCTGCTGGCACAAGATTTATCCCATACAGATCCATGTCCAGGTTTGATCCAGATCCATGACCATGGGGGACAGGAGGACCTGGGCGTGTCCTGATGTGTGTGTGTCCTCTGCAGGGTGATTACCTACGAGTGCTGCCCGGGTTATGAGAAGATTCCAGGAGAAAGAGGCTGTCCTGCTGGTAGGTCATGTGACCTGTGGCATCAGACACATGGTTCTGAAGGTTCTGCAGGTTTATAGTTACAGCAGATGTCTGACTCCTCGCAGCGCTGCCTCTGGTCAACATCTACAACACTCTGGGTGTGGTCGGTGCCTCCACCACGCAGATGTACTCCGAACGAGCCAAACTGAAGGAGGAGATCGAAGGACCGGGAAGCTTCACGTTCTTCGCTCCGAGCAACAAGGCCTGGGCGGCCCTGCCAGCTGTCAGTACGGCACCATCGCCTCATCAGGACCACCCACACCCTGCGACATGACGGAGGAGCTAACGCTAACTGTGGTTGTGTTGCAGGAGATCCTGGACGCTCTGGTGAGCAACGTGAACATCGAGCTGCTAAATGCTCTTCATTTTCACATGGTGGACCACCGACTGACCTCCGAGGAGCTGAAGCACGGCTCCTCCTTCCCCTCCATGTACCAGGACTCACAAGTTCACGTCCACCACTACAGCAACGGGGTGACTGAGAGCACTGCTACATGTCGAACACACACCCCTACATGTCAAACACACACAGCTCCATGTCAAACACACACCCCTACATGTCAAACACACACTGCTACATGTCAAACACACACAGCTACATGTCAAACACACACCGCTACATGTCAAACACACACTGCTACATGTCAAACACACACCGCTACATGTCAAACACAGACTGCTACATGTCAAACACACACTGCTACATGTCAAACACACACTGCTACATGTCAAACACACACTGCTACATGTCAAACACACACTGCTACATGTCAAACACAGACTGCT